GACACAGTTTTTCCAGGCAGATTTACCCCACATTCTACTTGAGGTCTCGTGCTGGCAATTTCCTGCCCACATGGGTAACAAAAGGGCACCTTGCTGCTGCTCAGCAGGAACTTTGGAAGGAGGACAACCTTCTTGGGAAGGGAAACGACTTGTCCTTGGCACAGCAAATGGAATTCAAAGCGTTTGAACTGGCTGTGGGAATGAAAAGAGGGCACGTTTGCAACTAGGACGCCTTCTTGGCTTTGGGCAGTACAAAACGTCCTGTCCCAAGGGATGGGAGACAGAAGCCTTGGCCAAGGGGACTCCCAGCTGGATATCCCAGCAGTATTCCCTGCTCAGCAACGTGATCAGAATCATCACATAATGAAAGAGGGACAGGGATTAATCCTGGTTCTGAGGCAGGCAGCATGGACAAGCTCTCAGCCACCTTGCTGTGGGACATTCCTCTTCAGAGCACGCTGCATCTATGGATCATGCTTGTTGGACCCATGTGGTGGCCTACAACATCATCATTATTATTATTATTATTATTATTATTATTTTTTATTTATTTTATTATTAGGGGTCTTTCTGTGTTGGGTGAGGGTTTTATAGCTCAAACCCCAGCACGTGTCCTGGAGGGAGCTGGATGAAATAACTCAAAACAAAGCTGAAGACTGAGATAATGATGGAGAAGAGGTCAGGAGTGGAGCTGCTCCCTGGACCCCCCTCCTCGACAGCACACAGTGACAGGTATCAGGACACAAACACACAGGAGATGACCGATGCATGGCTCTGGTTTCTCTAAGGTCCTCACTAACCTTTAAAGCTCAATAGCCCTAGCGGAGCTGCTGGGATGGCCTCCACAGCATCACAACAGCATCCCCCCTCAGTGCCACACAGGAAACATGATTGTCCTAAAGGCTCAGCGTTGTCTGAGGGTTGCACAGCCCAACTCTCACCACGCACCAACTCATGGCCAGGCTTTCCTGGTGGCTGGGGGTAACTGTGCAGTCAGCACCCATCCTTGGTGCCCAGCTCCTGCTGCCCAGGCACCCCAGGGCTGTCAGCTTGAAGCTTACTCACGTATTTGATTGCATTAAAGGCAATGAGCTCCTCTCTAGGCCAGTTTTCTAGAAGGGTGGACAGAAGAGGCGTTGCAGCCCTGTTCACGCATATGCATGGGCCCTCTCCTGTAGCCTGGCTGCCCTCTGGACCAAGGCTCCCAAAGCTCTGATTTGCCTCGCCGGACGAGTTTCCAAAAGCCAGCTATCAGCGCCTTGCTCCCAAACACGTGTCCCTGTAATAGAGGCAGTTTATCCTCTGCTAATATTGAGCAACTCAACCCTCCTCTTGCATTACGGAGCCTTTCAAGCATCATTTGATAAGCACTATGAGCGCAGCTCCTCAGGCATTGCTACATCTTTTGGCGTGCTTTGCCCTGCCAAAACTGTGTTTCAAGCTAGCTATAAATTATGCTTCATGGTCGGCTTTCATCTGCTCGCCATGCAACGGGTGAGAACAAAGGCCACTACGTGCCACACCAAGGCAGAAGAGCCAAGGGCCGGGTGGAGGCAGAGGCAATGCAGGCGGCTGGAGGAGGCAAAACAACCTCAGCCTGCTGCCAGCCTTACATCAGGGATGTGGAAAGCTGGGGATGTGCTGGGAATGGTGGGTGAGGGACAGGAGGGGAAAGAGGGCAGAGAAACCTGGGTTTGCTTGCCCGGCGCTAAGCGGTTACAGCAGGCAAGGGGGAGGCAGCCACCATCCCACCCAAGGGTCAGTGCAGAGGGCAGGAAGCTGCACATGAACACAAAGAGCTGCCCCTGCAGAAGATCCGGCTGCTCCAAGGCCACCCTAAAGGGAACGGCGATGCCCAGCCCAGAGGTTTGGACCAGGTCAGAGAGTGAGCAAGGAGATGCCACCTGCAGGGTATCAGAACTCCATAGGTCAGTGCCTCTGGGTCTGATGTGCAGATCTGCAGCTGCTGGAGAAGGATAAGGTGAGGAGGAGCCAGTGTCACCAGCAAGGCTGAGGGAAGCAGTCAGCACAAGCACATTGCAGTGTGCTCCTCTGGGGGGGGTTCACTCCCATTTCATCTCAGCACTGTCCCTTGTGGGTGAGCTCTCCAATAGCTCTGACCCCCTGGAGGATCACAGCAGCCACCCAGTGACAGGGCTGGGTGGAGGGAACGGACTAAACCTGGAGGCCTCTTAAATCCCTATTTACAGCAGGAATAGCAGGTGAGCTGCACTAATGCTGTGATGGTTTCCCCATCACCCACACCCCAGCTCCTTAGGGCTTAACAGGCTCTTTTCTGTGAGTTAAGGTGCTTCCTGAGGCTGATCTCAGAGCCACTGAGCACACACAGCATCACCTCCACTGAGCTGGTGCTGCTGCGTCCTGCCTTAAAATGAGACTTGAACAGTGAGCTCCATCACATAGGGTCCTGTCCACACTGTGTTCACCTCACTGACTTCAGCAGTGAACAACCAACCCCATCCCTGCTGCAATGGTTTGGTTTTGTCTGCCATGGTACCAGGTCCAGAAGTAAGATTAGGCAGGGAATTCAGGCATCAGCCCCTTCACACTCCACTCTGCCGGTTCAGAACACACTTGCTGCCAGGCTGACAGCTCCCATGGGGAATGGGAAACAGCATAAAAGGACAAAAGTCTTACCTGATGTTGAGAAAAGGAAGCCATGGAAGACAATGCAGGCCAGGGCAGTTCTCCCATCCAGAGCAGGACACGAAGCTGGACCTTAGGAAAGCCACGGCCTCATTCTGCCCCACCACATAACATTGCCCTGTGCTGGTGACCACAGTGGCTTGTGCGCACCCATGCTCTGCTCCCAGACCTCCATCCTCCAGCCACACCATCACGGAATAGAGGGAATGCAGCAGGACATGCACCAGGGTACCACGGCTGTGTGCTTCCATGCAGGTTGGATTCCTGCCTTGGTGCATTCTGCAAACCCCTCTGCATGGGGTGTAAGTGGCTTCCTTACCCACCTTTGGGACTCCAGCAGCAGCCACCTCCTGGTCTGCATCTCCAGCCCAGATGCACTGTGTCTGCTCAGGAGCAAAGGGAGTTTTGAGACAGGCTTTGGAAGCAGAGGTGATGATCCCAAATGCCCTCATCCCTCTCCAGAGTTCTTGTCAGCCCCCTTTAGGTATTGGATGATGTTTGGATCTAAGCTGCACGAGCACACAGAAGGGCATCCCCCTCAATGATCTGAAGGTGATGCTCCCTTGAGCGTACTCCTGCCATAACCTCATAACCCAGGAAAGAAGTGTTTAGGCCTTTAACTCAAGGTAAGACATTGCCAGTGGCAGCTCTTAAATGGAGTTTCACGGGAGATCTAAAGCTTCACAGGCCTCTGAAGGAGCTGGAAACACAGAGCTCCTGCTCTGTAGAAGCCTGGGGAGGCCTGGAAGGCTCTGCAGTCCTACAGCACCACTCCCTGGAGATGAAGGGATGGGACCAGCTGAGCAGCCAAGGGAGGAGCAAGGGCAGAAGCTGGGCCCCAATGGAAGACGATGCTCAGTGGAGAGCAGCCCTGGGTTATCACACTGTGAATAAACTGATCCTTGCTGAAGGTTAGCATGCCACATGAATGTATATAGCAACTGGCAGCGATAGCTTCAAGGAAGGAGGCATGAGATCAATTGCTATGGGTACATCCTCATCAGTAAGTGCTGCCTCATGCCACCGTGCACATGCTTATATCCTTTTGAGCCTAGTTAGCACGAGGAGAGCCTGCACCACTCTGCCACCCCACAGATGAGCAAGAACCAAACTTGTAAAAGCCTTGTAGCTGTTCTTCTGTTCTCCCAAGGTGAAACAGGAGCCTACACACACAACGCAGGGTGAGGGGTGAGCTTCCACAGCCATTACATGGTTAACAGGGATTCCAGTCGGGAATTGGCTGCACTTCCTTCTCCAAAATAAAAACTTACTCATGATGGATTTGCCTGAATTATGGTTTAATTTCATAATCTACTGTTGCTTTGTCTACAACATTGTACAAAATAGCAGCAGAAAGAACATTTCAGCCCCACATAAATGTTTGACTGGGTCTGAGGATCCAGTGCCTTTGAGTCTTTGATCTACACTCTCCTGTTGTCTAGATGCTGTCAAAGTACCTTTGGTGCTAAGGCTCATAGCATGCACACCTCATAACATCTGTGCTTTCCAGTCTCCTCCACTCAGTGATGGAATTCCCCAGCCATGGCAGAAGATCTCTGGTGGTACCTCATCTTTCTGGTCAAACATGAGAGATTCTGAACCTCTTTTTGCATTAGGCAAAAACATTCCAGCAAGGACATGAGGTAGGGGCAGTTCTGTTTCAAAGGTGATGGTTTAGGACAGAACATCCTGGTTTGCAGCACTTGCTCTAGTAGATTTTCTAAGTACAGCGTTGATGTGCACACTAATACAATTGGTTCTAGATTTCCAGTCATTCCCATCAATGAATTTTCACTGGGAGTAGCACTACCCCATGTTGGCCAATCTGAGAATGCATCCCTTTATAGCTCAGATAAAACTAGCAGGCAGATCCTGGTTTCAGCTTAGAGGCTAAGGAAAATAAAACACTTGGCTGCTACTGGAGGTAGAATAAATGCAGAACACAATTAGGAAACCTGATGAGAACTACATGGAATCTGATATGATTGCTTTGGGTTAGAAAATCACTCACTAAAAGGCTTCATTGATCTTTGGTGTCAAGAAATACTCTTGCTGCAGCCTGCCAGCAGGTGAGTGGGGTGGTAGAATGATCTCTCCCACCTTTGTTCTCCATGGAAAGTTTCATTTTGGCCAATCATTTCTCCTCTCATCTTCTGTGCTCCTGAAGCTTCTAATTGTGCTTTAAAGGTCTAGTGGAAAGCCATGATCATTACAAAGAGATACAATTCTTTTAATGCTTTTTCCCCCCAATTTTGGCTACGATGCAGCATCGTGTTCCAAACGCAACTACTGGATCTGAAAATGAAAGCACTTGGGCTATAATCTGCAAATACATAGCCTTTGTGTAGACCAGTTCTCAATGAAACCCTTCATATTTACACAGCAGTGGAGGGATGTTCTCAGGAAGGTCATGCTACAGGGTGGAGTCTGAAAAGAAGAGGAAGAGAGAAGTAGCTCAATATTGCAATAAGGGAGATGTCTGCAAAAGGATTATAGGGATTGAACTGACCCATTTCTCCACTCATATAATCCCATCAAGGTATTCTGAATTGCATTTAAAGGAAAATATTTGGCTCAAAGTAAATGATATTTCAAAATGAACTGAGTAAAATCACCAGCAGTGTATATCTATAAATATAATCCACCATCAGCAGCAAGAACAGCTACAAGAACACCATCCTCACTTGGAGTATTGTGTACAGTTCTGGTGTCCTCAACATAAAAAGGACATGGAACTGTTGGAACAAGTCCAGAGGAGGCCACGAGGATGATCAGGGGCTGGAGCACCTCCTGTATGGAGATAGGCTGAGAAAGTTGGGGCTGTTCAGCCTGGGGAAGAGAAGCTGCGTGGAGACCTCAGAGCAGCTTCCAGTGTCTGAAGGGGGCCTTTATAGGCCTATAAGGATGCTGGGGAGGGACTCTTCAATAGGGACTGCAGTGATAGGACAAGGGGTAATGGGTTCAAATTCAAATAGGGGAAGTTTAGATTGAATCTAAGCAGGAAGTTCTTTCCTGTGAGGGTGGTGAGGCACTGGAATGGGTTGCCCAGGGAAGCTGTGAATGCTCCATCCCTGTCAGTGTTCAAGGCCAGGTTGCACAGAGCCTTGGGTGCCATGGTTTAGTGTGAGGTGTCCCTGCTTATGGCAGGGGGGTTGGAACTGGATGATCTTCAGGTCTTTTCCAACCCTAACTATTCTGTGATTCTATGATCAGTCCTACCCTCAGTCAAACACACTAATTCTCTACTCACATCAGGATGGCCCTATTTAACTTACACCTCATCCCTCTCTTTCATCCTTTCTCATTCCCTTTGGCCACATAACACACCAGCTCTTTCCTCACTGCTTCACCCAACCTTGCACATCTTGCAGGGCCTCCTGCTCTGCAGCTCCTGCACTATAGAAACCTCCGACATTATCTTAACAAATGAAGGTGGGATATTTCTTTCTAAAAGAAAAACAAAATTCCTGGATCATGTAGGAATCAGAGGCTTTTCTCATGCCTGCCTCTTCATTTCTATTTCATTTCATAGTTGATGACTAGTAAGATAATTAAAAATTCAATGAAGCAGTCCAAATATCCACTGCCCTATTGGAGATTGCTCTTGCCAGGAAATAAAGCTGCATGGCTACAGTTTTAAGGCATCTTAACAGCAGTGATGTATCTTGACATGCAGGAAGAGGAGCATTAAAGATTGTTGTTACCTTTAATAGTGAGGAAGGCTTTGCTGAATGCACGGCCCGATGCGTTGGTGGCTTCTACCATATATTCTCCTTCATCCTGTTTCGTGACACCCAGGACAACCAGGGAGCAGACTCCAAAGTCGTTTGTGCAATAATAGGTGGGATCATTGGAGAGGTCTCTACTGTCCTTGTACCACCTGATCTTTGGAGCTGGATGGCCTCCAACTGCACAGCTCATGCGGCACTCGCTGCCAGTGGTCACCACATGAGGCTTCAACGGGACAAGGAACCTCGGGGGCTGGTTTTGATTAACTCCCTTGTACTTCTGGGGTTTGATGTGAAACTCGGCTGTAAATGACACCAAGCAGTATAAAAACACAGCTCAGATACTGCTCCATAGCAAGAGAAGGCAGTGGTTAAAGGACTGACTTTCAGTCATGACACTTCCTTCCCTGCCCCACTGGAAGGTCTTAGGGTGTCCCTGTGCATTCTCTAGGCAACTAAACATTCCCAGGCGACCACCCCCATTTCAGGATGGTGTGTTAGAAACAATACAAGAAGCAAAGCAGGACAGCACACACAAACACCTGTAAAAGCTGATTTACCCTTTGGCTTCCGGATTCGCCAAGGCTGCACAGTTTCAGATGGACCACTGGTTCCCAAGTTGTTCTTTGCCACAACTCTAAAGTAGTAGTCCCGGCCTGGGATCAAGCGGGTGAATGTGAACTTGTTGGTGTAGATCAGGTCGCCCACCACACGCCATGTACCCTTCTGTGATTCACGTTTCAGGACTGTGTAGTAGAGATCTCTCTCCCATTTCTCAGATGCTGATGGCTCCCAGGTTACTGTCACTGTGTTTGGCACATTCTCGTGCAGTTGAATAGGTCCAGGTGATTGCGGGATATCTGTCAGATAAAGGCAAATAGTATCAAAGATGTAGGGAAAGTGGCACAGTACAGAACCCTAAAAACTTGGAGTATATTCTAGTTCTGGGGGCTGAGTAAACAGCCTGGTCATTAGAAGGGACAAGATTTGATTCCTTCCCCATTCACACCAACTCATTAGCTATTAACTGCACTTCTGACACATCTGCATTACTCGGCTCTTCCCTTCTTATAGGGAGGAGATGAGGGTGGTACAGCTGAATGTTTTCATCTCCTGGGGAGACAGCATATAGAGATGTAGTAGCTATGACTAAATGTCCTACAGCCTGCTGCTGCCTAACCGTAGACTGTTACAAAGGGTATGATCTGCTCTCCTGTGTTTTGCACTCCCCTATTTAAGCAAAGCCACTTGGGAAACCAGGTGTCATGTTAACCAGTAGACTGCTCTGTCCTGCAGACATCACCCAATCTCATGGAAAACCGCACTGAATTGCACCAGTGCTCACCACGATCAGCTCCGTGGCCTGTCTGCAGTAAATCTGCATGGATATCTGGTAGTCACCTGTAACTTGAACTTGAAAGCTGAATGTTTCTCTTTTCCCTAACCCATTCTGGAGCTCAACAGTGTAGGTGCCGCTGTCAGTGAACTCAGCTGCTCCAATCAGCAGCTGCGTGGTATCATCTTTGGTTTTTATTGTAGCCTGGTTTGGAAGAGGACGCCCATCCTTCAACCAGGTCACCACTGGGTCTGGAGACCCCTGTAGAGAAAAACACAAGTTATGGCCCGCTTGTTTTGCCTCCAGATTGCAGCTTTAAGTCTTTAGTTTCATTATCTTGTCCCATATCATAGAATCCCAGACTTGTTTGGGTTGGAAGGGACCTAAAAACTCATCTAATCCCAAAACCCTTGTCACGGGCAGGGACACCTTTCACTAGAGCAGGTTGCTCAAAGTATACCTGCAAAAATGTGTACCCACATGGCACACTAAGGTAATATTTAGAAATATGGATGCAAGGTAGACCTAACAGATCTAAAGAAAGGGCTGCTTTAAAGTTTCTTTGCAACTTTCTCTATGTCTTTTAAGACTGTTATTGGAATAAGTTGTCCAGGTTAACCATATTAAACAAGGTGTGCGACATCAGGACAAACAGTTGACATCAGTAGTTAATATTTTCTACTGCTGGCTTTGAAAAGAAGAAACATCCTCAAGTCTTTGTTTCCATTATGCCATCTTTGGTCTCTCCTCTTCCGGATATCCCAGACTTTATCTGTGTTACTCCAAGCTCGTGTCTAAGCAGACAGGATTTCAATGCATCCATTCCTCAAGTCATATGGCTGAAGTCCTGCTATTTAGTATTACAAACACAGTTAAGAAGATGTGGCTAGAAACACTACCCAAAGGTCTTCTGAGGGAGGCAGAGGGAAAGAACTGGTTTTTAAACTAAGTATGACAGATGAGTACCAGATGATGCTAATATTGAGATGGTTGGGTGGCCAGCACTGTGCCATCTGCAGAGGTTAAAGAGTGACCCTAATCTCTTACAGCACTGATGCTGAAGTCAGCTGAATTCTTGCTCGTGTTTTCCACATGCAAGGAGTATACATAGCACATGTCCCTTAAAGAATCTGCACAGTGTCTAGTAAATAAAATTCCACACCAAGAAAGCTCAGTTTTCCTGTCTGCTATTGAATACAACATAAAAACAGCTGGGGAATTCTTACTAACACATTTGAATACTTACTTCAAAGGGAATATTCACTCGGATGGTATTTCCTGCTTTTATAACCAGGAAGCTTTTCACTGTGTCATCTATTAGTAACCTTGGAGGAACTGGAAAAGACAGTGATCACAATGAAAAGTTGTACATTACTACAGTCTCCAGCTGACAGTCACACACCTGTGTTTGATATCCTCCTAATGCCTTCCCCAACAGCTAGTTGGAAAGAAAAGAGGAGAAAAGACCATTTTGGAGGGTTTTTTGTCATAAAGAGTCTTTAACAGGAGCTGAGCACTGCGCATTGCACTTTTCTTATCAGTTGTATCTTCAATTTCCTGATGATGTGACCAAATAAGACCCTACTGTAAAGGAGCAACACAGTACTTGTCCTTCTGCTAGAGTCTGGGATGTAAAAGAAGCTTGTCAGTGACCTACAGACCTTGCCTGCATGCTGTTGCCTATAGAATGACCTTGCTCATTCTGAAAGCCCACTTTGACTTACCTACAGGGGGAGCAGGGCCAAGGAGAGCTTCAAGCTCTGCGGCTTCTCCTGGGCCACTGTCATTGAGGGCTCTCACACGCAGGAAGTATATCTCCTTGGCCTGGAGGCCTTTGACTGTGTAAGTGGTTGTCTCTATGGGAAGAACATTGCATTTGGTCCAGTTGAGGTTGTTAGAAGACCGCACTTCCACTTCATAGCCCTTCACATCATTCCCATCATTCGTTTCAGGTCTCTTCCATGTCAAGGTGATACTAGAGCTGTCACTGCTGCTCACTTGAAGGTCCTGCACCTGACCTAGAGATTCTGAAAAGAGAAATTTTACTTAAGCTATTTTTCTAGGAATTTTGTCCCCTTTTTTCAGTCACTTTCTGAGATTCCCCAACATTACAGAATCACAGAATCATTAGGGTTGGAAGGGACCTCTGGAGATCATCTAGTCCAACTCCCCTGCCAAGGCAGGGCCACTTAAAGCAGGTTACATACTTGAAGTGCACTGGATATCAACCCTGAAACAGTCTGCAGCCCACCCTGAATACTTCTCCACACTGTACATCTCCCCCATACATGGAATCTGCCACATCTTGACTAAGACATTACACAGGAAATCCTGCCATTCCTTCCTCATGCTGATAATGGATTCTATCCATTACCATGAAGAGTTCCCAATTATTTGATCTTCACATACTTTTACCAAGCACTTGAAGCCATCCTCTCTCCACTAACATCACCAGTCTACATTCAGATGTACCAATTCCAAGCCAGAAGGATAAGGGGCAGTGAACTTACTTGTGGAATCCCGTGCAAAGACAGGCTTTGACGGTTCACTGGCATCTCCTGTACCTGCAGCATTGACAGCTGCCACACGGAACTCATACTGCAGACCTTTCTTGAGATTGGTCATCTCCAGCTTCTTGTCTGCAGAATGAAAAGGAGCGCGTTGGCTTGGATGTACACCATCAGGAGTCACATATAAATGCTGTCACTGCTTCCCCTGCCCTTCCCTATCCAAGTGCATGTGTACTTCTGGAGTGTGTTCATTGTATTTCCTTTCAAATCAAACAGCACTTGAGAGCTATTAAGTTTGAAAAAAGGGTAAATATTGCTTTTCCTCATGGGATAATCCTAAACTCGTCTATACCAGATAAGAAGTCCTAGCTTTCACCTGATAGATAATGCTAGCTACAACCAAAACACCACTTGCATTTATATATTCATTGCATTTATATGTTGTATTTATATAGTCCTTGCCTTTATAAATTCCTGTCTGCCAAGTTCCTAGTGCAAGGACTAAGGACAGTAGTTCTGCACATGGAATGAAGACTTTAGCTCCAGAAACTGAAGACATCAGTTTACTTATAGACGATGCGGCAGTGAGCTTGTCTACACTCCTCTCCAGCCGTATGCTGGAGATCATAATCCTCCTAATCCCAGGCATTCAGCTGTATATAAACTCAAGAGCTGGCTTTGCTGTGGTACAGCTGTGAAACCTTAGTTGTGGGAAAACATACACCCTATGGAAGAGAAGAAGGTAAAACTTGATGCAGGATTAACGTGGTTGCAATGTGGAAAGGCAGCAGCTCAAGGATTAGAGGGGAAACACTGGTGTGAGAAGGTGCAAGATCCTCAGCAGCTCCGGAACCCAGTTGACCTTTTTGCCTTCTCCAGGTCCTCGAGTCTGCTCCAGGATTTAAGCAACCCACCTGCTATAGGCACGCTGTTGACTGGCAGCCAGGTCATGGTACCCTTCTTGCGCTTCTGAACAAGATACCCCACAATTCGGGAACTGCCGCTTTTCTGAGGTGCTTTCCAGGATATTGTGATGGTGTCTCTGCTGGCACTGACAATCTCAGGGGGATCTGGGGCACCAGGTGTAGCTAGAAAGAGGTCAACGTTTCATTATTAGCAGGTATATTTTCATTGCAAGATGACGAAATGCTCTATGGCATTTCTCATCCCGATTGCCCCAAGGTATTCATGCAGATGTGTTTTGCAAGCCTGACTGAGACCTGAGGTTGTGGATCCTATCCCCCACACAAAGAGAACTCAGCATGGACCTGTGCTCCTCAATTTTGTTCTCATTAATAACCTGCTGCCATCACAAGTGACAATTCCACTGTCAGCCTACAGAGTGAGGAATGTCATTCTTACACAGTAAGATAAAGACAGCATCATTCCTGCTTTTAATGGTAAAAACCAGAAACAGAATAGTTTTTCTTAGCCCTCTGCTAACGCATTCAAAAGGCAGGTCTTCTCATGATCATGAGAAGAATGTAGAAAGATGAAAATCAGAAACAGAGCATTGCTTTCCCTCTAGTACTACATTCATGCTCATGGCAAAAGTGTTCTAGTATTTAAACTCATTGAAGGACAAAAAATAGAATTAGTTGTTTGGAAACCAGGGGAATGAAGTCATCATGCTGAAAACTGCTGCTTATAAGTGAGACATTCCTTGGCCTATGGAGTTAAGAAAAGGCCTCACATGTTCCCTTTGTAGCCACCCTGGGAAAAACGTTCTTGGATCTTCAAGCAGTGTTGCATTTCCCCTGTGAAACTTGCTTCCCAGTTCAGAATGGAGCAGAACTGAGAACCTAACGCCACTCCACTCAGCATCACCAAAGCCTACAGAAAACTTCTAGTCTTGATGTGCAATCTCCACAGACTTCAGAGCTGCAATTCAAATTTAGGTCTGTACCAATACATGAAATGCAGTGAGATTCCTTTGATGTCATCTTTGACAATGAATTTCCCAGATGGTTATTGACCACCGTCATGGAAAGTTCCTTACCCTTACTGACAGCCTTCACTTCCCCTGATTCCAGTGCATCACTGGTGCCCTCAGCATTCACAGCTCTCACCCTGAAGTAGTAGCTCATGTCTTGCTCCACTTTGTTGGTAGTGAAGGTAGTGCAGCTCCTGGGGGTTTCTCCCAAAGTCACCCATTCGTCCTTGCCCACCTGCTGTCTCTCAATGATGTAGCTTTGCACTGGTTTGCCCCCATCATCCTTTGGGGGCTTCCACTGAATGGTGATATCGTTTGCAGAGCTCTCCACGATCTTGATGGGTCCTGTAGGTGGTTGGGGCTTGTCTGAAAAGATGAACACAGAGAGTCAATGAGCTGCCTCCTGCTCAGCAGCTGGGTGGAAGCCAGACCCTTCCTCCATGCTCTCATTACTCTCATAACCACTGCACCAATTCAGCCTGCTTATACAGGAAGAGCACCATTTCTGGTCTTCCAAAAGAGCTCAGACATTTATGGTCGGGCTGAATTTGGCTTTGATCATCTGTTATAGATTTGCCTCTTGCACATAGTCCTATCTCCCACAGCTGCCCAACTTTCAAAACCCACCTGCTGATGCCATGCAAAACCAAACTAGATCTGTGTCACCTTGTACTAAGAAAAACAACAGCAATCTTTGCTTGTACTCTGGTTTGATGGGGAATTCATCTTGAAATACCTGGTAGCTCTAAATAAGATTGTTACCAATGTTAATGGGTTTCCTGCCTCAGCTTTACAATGAAAACCACAGTGGATGTTAGGGGGCTCTTACCAAATACCACAAGTTTTAAGTTGATCTCCAGGACCCCACTGTCATTCTTGAGCCTGACTTTGTAATCCCCAGCGTCCTTTCTTTCAGTGCTGGAGATGGACAGCTTGGTAAAGGTGTCTGTTTTATCAACACGGATCCTTGTGTCATCTGCTAGCTCCATCTTGTCCTTCAGCCAAGCTGCTCTGATTGGCAGCCGGCCCTCAAAAGGGATCTTGATGGTTACATTCTGCCCTGCCTTGGCCACAGTAGGAACACTCGTTAAGTTTTTGAGGAGCACTTTGTCAACCTGTGGAGGATCTAAGCAGGCGATACAAGGTCATTAAAATCTGCAATTCAAAGAGGATAAGGCTTACCTTGGAGGGAAGGGCTTCCCTCTTGGTGCTACCAATAATGCTCAGAAGGTCATATCTGGACCTTCACCTTTAGTTGCATGCTCAGTGCTTCACATACATTCATGTACTTTGCTAGGGGATGATCATCATAAGGTATATTTGGTATCACACCATCCTTTTCATGGGAGCAAATCTCTCATAGGAAATAGACTGAACACATGAATGAGGAATCTTGCCTGTTAAAGCATTAGTGAACCCAAAAATCTCTGAGCTAATAAAAGCCATTCAGGAAAGCTCCCTACTTAAATCTGTAAAGACAAAAGGCACTGACCTCTACGAAAACCATCTCCCATTTACATGGTTATTCTTTATAATAAAGTTCTCAATAACCAGCAATAGGTCTCTGAGAAGACGTGTTCTGTTTAAAGTGCATCAAGCCCAGCACACTGCATTGGCAGTTTGAGTTGACTCACCTTCAACAAAAATTGAAGCTTCGGTTTTTATATCTCCACTTTCAAACCTGTATTTCCCAGCATGAATATCGTCCACTTTGTCAATAACTAGTTTGTGGACTAGACCTTCCTTTTTAAAACAGACTCCCTCCATGCTGGTTAACTACGAGGTGAAACACAGAAAGCAAAACACAAGAAATTGAGATGTAACTGAAAAGGCTTAAGAATGACACATGTTTAATTACAGTAATATTCTGAGGTTACTCGTCTGGTAATGTTGCACAAGCATCATCAACATATTCCCCACAAAGGCTTGATTTAAAGTCCATTAAAAGAACATTTTAGTACAGTGTCCAAACTCTATTTCTATTCTTAATGACAAAATCTTGGGTCCATGCTCAAGTACAACTGGATCCCACAGTAGGAATTACTCTTCAGTGGTGTTTTGGAACATAGAATATAATGCCTATATTTGACCGTAAGCTCTGATTTGAAAGACCACTCTTTGCTTTACACCCCTCTGAAGTATCCTTTGAAGATTTCCCCCTTGCTCTTTGCATATTTCTCTCATTCACCAAAAGAAAAGAATTGCATGGCAAGGAAGTGCCCCACACCATCTCCACCCATGAAAATGAATGGCAAACACAAAGGCTCCTATGGTCAGCAAGAATGAAACTGGTTTGTAGCAGTAAAAGAGAGAAACCTTGCTGGAATTTTAGTATCAACAGACTCCTGCATAATCCTTCCAGGGATTCCATACTCAGACTAGAGTAAGACTGGGAGAGGGAAGGACACTTTGACACACCACCTGAGAGGTAGAGCCAGAGAGCAGAGCTCATCAAAGGAGACAGCACTTAGAAGACACCCACCTTCAATCCATCTTTAAACCAGGTTCCTGTCACTCCATCTTTACTGACAGTGCAAGACAGCTCAGCTGGCTCCCCTTTCAGGACTCTGACATTCAGTAGCTGTTTGTTGACATGACAGCGTGGTGCTGAACATTCAGAAAGGAAGATGTTGAGAAGGTGCTAACTCTGCGTTAGCACTGACAAGGAAATGTATAGATGAAAAAGCATGTGCACAGGAGGAGAACAGAGAGCTTTCTGGGCTATATATACTGTAGTCACAACTGGCTCTTGTACCTTGAGGCTGTGGGCCAGCTGGCATGAACACACTGCACTGAGGGGACATGCCAACTGGCTGGCATACAATATAGCCCCAACATCAACCTCATGGGGAATGGATTCATCACAAATTGCATCATCTACCTACAGATTCACTATTTTAAGTCTCTGCTAATTTTCCTGGCTCCCTCTGCAGAAGCCATTGGGACAACTGGGCTACTGCAGGATATTCTTTTCTCTGCATTGAGCAGATATAGGACTGCCCAACCACTACCCCCTAAACAGCCCCAAGTGTCACTGACTCTACCCCCTCTTTCCTTTCCCCTGTTCTTCATTAACACCCTCATCCCCTTTCTAATAAACACCCCACCTCCTTCCCTATTAACTCCAATTCCATTGATTTTCTTCCTTATTTATACGTATGTCCCATCCCTGGAAGTCTTCAAGACCAGGTTGGATGGGGCCTTGGGCAACCTGTCTAGTGGAAGGTGTTTTCACATTATCATCTTGCCAGCATAGCCATTGGTCTTAGTCAAATGGCTGCATACACTTTACTCTCCTTTTACTACATGCAACACCTTATTACTTCTAAGGTTACAAGAGAAAAGAGCACTTTAAATCCATTATACGCAGGCACAGATTTGTTCCCAGAACTTGGAAGAAAAGATATCTGCACTAGATCTTAGGACAAATAAAGTGATACAGTAAGTTTTAAATTGGAACAGTATCAAAGAAGCATGGCCATATTCCTTGAAACTCTATGGGAAGTAGTATGTCTGTGAACTCAGGTCTGTTCCATGTGGATCTGAATCACATATTTGATTGAACAGATGATACCTGGTTTAGATAATTTAAACAAAGAGAATTTAGACTTTTAAGGAGTGCAAGCTGTGTAAATTGTGTAAGGTACAACAGCAAATCAGTGGTAGAATTAGGAACAGATCATAGTATAACCAAATAGTGACATATAGCTGCAGTTGTCTAAAGCATAAAATCCCATTTCTCCCCAGGATTAGGGATGTGAGGATCAACATGCAAAGCCCAGAGGACAGAAGTCATGGATCAAACACGTACCTTTCAGATCATCAAGGCAATAATGTCGTCTTTTTTCCACACTTTCTATACTTGTCAAGAAATCATTTGTTTTAAAATCAAGGCTGGGTTCCTCTTTCCGCTGGTTTATTGAAGGAAGTCCACCATAACGAGCTGACATCTGACCATAATCCAATGGACCTTGACCAAAACTACCTGAACTCCTCCCAAAACCAAATCTATTAAGGGATTTACTTGCTGCCCCTCCAAAGGCAGATTTAGTGTCATGAAGGGACCGTAACTGCCCTAGATCTCTGCCCCCACCCCTGGCAGCTGCTTGACGTGAAAGTGAACCTCTGTCATCAGATGAACCTTTGCTCCCTGATCTGAAATCACTGGCAGTGCCCTTTCCAGGTTCACGTCCACTAGAAGGCTTGCCAGGACGTGAATCCAGCCCATATTCACCCCCTCGTCCATCAGCACCTACCACACCTTCCTTACCACCTACAGAACGTAACCCCTTCCCATCACCTCTCAAACTCCCAATGCCATCCACACCAGCCCTGGCTCCAGCTGACACACTGTCCTTGCCATAGGGAGATGCAGTATCCCTTATTGCAGACCCACCTATACCACCATGTTCTGAGGAAAAGACATTTCCTGCTCCACCACCATACCCTGCAGCTTTGCTAGGAACAGAATCCCTGCCATGGTGAGACCCCATTACTTCTGCACCTCCCAAACGAAAATGACCAGAGCCAGCCACACCCCCAAGTGGGACACCAGCCTTTCCATACAGAGATCCTCCTACCCCTGCACCACCTACACCAGCACCACCTATGCCACCTCCAACTGGGAGACCATCCTTTCCATATGGAGACCCAACTCCCCCTGCACCAGCTACACCAGAACCACCAAATCCAGCTCCAACTGGGAGACCATCCTTTCCATATGGAGACCCAGCTCCCCCTGCACCAGCACCACCAAGGCCAGCTTCAACTGGAAGACCATCCTTTCCATATGAGGTCCCTGCACCAGCTGCACCAGGCCCACCAAATCCAGCACCAGCTACAACAGCACCACCTATGCCATCTCCAGCGGGGAGACCATCCTTTCCATATGGAGATCCAACTCCCCCTGCACCAGCTACACCAGCACCACCTACGCCAGCTCCAACTGGGAGACCATCCTTTCCATATGGAGATCCAACTCCTCCTGCACCAGCTACACCAGCACCACCTATTCCAGCTCCAAGTGGGAGACCATCCTTTCCATATGGAGATCCAACTCCCCCTGCACCAGCTACACCAGCACCACCTACGCCAGCTCCAACTGGGAGACCATCCTTTCCGTATGGAGATCCAACTCCCCCTGCACCAGCTACACCAGCACCACCTATGCCAGCTCCAACTGGGAGACCATCCTTTCCATATGGAGACCCAACTCCTCCTGCACCAGGTGCACCAGGTGCACCAGGTACACCAGCACCACCTATGCCAGCTCCAACTGGGAGACCATCCTTTCCATATGGAGAACCAACTCCCCCTGCACCAGCTACACCAGCACCACCTATGCCAGCTCCAACTGGGAGACCATCCTTTCCATATGGAGAACCAACTCCCCCTGCACCAGCTACACCAGCACCACCAAATCCAGCTCCAACTGGGAGACCATCCTTTCCATATGGAGATCCAACTCCCCCTGCACCAGCTACACCAGCACCACCAAATCCACCTTCAACTGGGAGACCATCCTTTCCATATGGAGATCCAACTCCCCCTGCACCAGCTACACCAGCACCACCAAATCCAGCTCCAACTGGGAGACCATCCTTCCCATATGGAGATCCAACTCCTCCTGCACCAGCTACACCAGCACCACCTATTCCAGCTCCAACTGGGAGAACATCCTTTCCATATGGAGATCCAACTCCCCCTGCACCAGCTACACCAGCACCACCAAATCCAGCTCCAACTGGGAGACCATCCTTCCCATATGGAGATCCAACTCCCCCTGCACCAGCTACACCAGCACCACCTATGCCAGCTCCAACTGGGAGACCATCCTTTCCATATGGAGATCCAACTCCCCCTGCACCAGCTACACCAGTACCACCAAGACCAGCTCCAACTGGGAGACCATCCTTCCCATATGCAGATCCAACTCCCCCTGCACCAGCTACACCAGCACCACCAAATCCAGATCCAACTGGGAGACCATCCTTTCCATATGGAGATCCAACTCCCCCTGCACCAGCTACACCAGCACCACCTATGCCAGCTCCAACTGGGAGACCATCCTTTCCATATGGAGAACCAACTCCCCCTGCACCAGCTACACCAGCACCACCAAATCCAGCTCCAACTGGGAGACCATCCTTTCCATATGGAGATCCAACTCCCCCTGCACCAGCTACACCAGCACCACCAAATCCAGCTCCAACTGGGAGACCATCCTTCCCATATGGAGACCCAACTCCTATGGCACCAGGTGCACCAGCTACACCAGCACCACCAAATCCAGCACCAACTGGGAGACCATCCTTCCCATATGGAGATCCAACTCCTCCTGCACCAGCTACACCAGCACCACCTATGCCAGCTCCAACTGGGAGACCATCCTTTCCATATGGAGATCCAACTCCTCCTGCACCAGCTACACCAGCACCACCTATGCCAGCTCCAACTGGGAGACCATCCTTTCCATATGGAGATCCAACTCCTCCTGCACCAGCTACACCAGCACCACCAATGCCAGCTCCAACTGGGAGACCATCCTTTCCATATGGAGATCCAACTCCCCCTACACCAGCACCACCAAATCCAGCTCCAACTGGGAGACCATCCTTTCCATATGGAGTTCCAACTCCTCCTGCACCAGCTACACCAGCACCACCAATGCCAGCTCCAACTGGGAGACCATCCTTTCCATATGGAGATCCAACTCCTCCTGCACCAGCTACACCAGCACCACCAAATCCAGCTCCAACTGGGAGACCATCCTTTCCATATGGAGATCCAACTCCCCCTGCACCAGCTACACCAGCACCACCTACGCCAGCTCCAACTGGGAGACCATCCTTCCCATATGGAGATCCAACTCCCCCTGCACCAGCTACACCAGCACCACCAAGTCCACCTCCAATTGGGAGACCATCCTTTCCATATGGAGATCCAACTCCTCCTGCACCAGCTACACCAGCACCACCAAGTCCACCTCCAATTGGGAGACCATCCTTTCCATATGGAGATCCAACTCCTCCTGCACCAGCTACACCAGCACCACCAATGCCAGCTCCAACTGGGAGACCATCCTTTCCATATGGAGACCCAACTCCTCCTGCACCAGCTACACCAGCACCACCAATGCCAGCTCCAACTGGGAGACCATCCTTCCCATATGGAGAACCAACTCCTCCTGCACCAGCTACACCAGCACCACCTATGCCAGCTCCAACTGGGAGACCATCCTTTCCATATGGAGATCCAACTCCTCCTGCACCAGCTACACCAGCACCACCAAATCCAGCTCCAACTGGGAGACCATCCTTCCCATATGGAGATCCAACTCCCCCTGCACCAGCTACACCAGCACCACCAAATCCAGCTCCAACTGGGAGTCCATCCTTTCCATATGGAGACCCAACTCCTCCTGCACCAGGTGCACCAGCACCACCAAATCCTGGTCCAACTGGGAGACCATCCTTTCTATATGGAGATCCAGCTCCTCCTGCACCAGCTACACCAGCGCCTTGTCTAAGTGGCCAACCATCTGGACCATACAAAGCCTCCATTTCCCCTATAGAACTGCCACCTGCACCAGATATAGCCCCATCTCCAACTGGAGGACCACCTGGACCATACAGCAAGCCAGACCTTCCTGTCTGACCTAAGTGACCTCTATCATGAAGTGCCAAGCCATCCTCACCATACGGGATACCTATTTGTCCTTCTGTGTTTATACTTGCTCCATCCCTATCAACCACAGTTGGCAGACCATCCTTGCCATAGGGGGACCTCATTCCTCCTGCAGTCTCAGTACCTGCAGCATTCTTTCTAGCGCCAGTCCATGGACCAGTCCTTCTGAAGGAGCCATCCTTACCATCTCCCACTCCGGTTGAATCAGGATCAAGTCCATCTACCTCAGATCTTCCACCAGCAGCACCTGATTTCCCAACACCCCCAAAACCAGCTCTGTAACTAGTATCACCTAATTTACCATCCTTGTCATGCTGAAAACCCACACCTTCTCCGTCAGCCATGTCAACCTTAACACTACGTAGGATAGCACCACCTCTGCCATCCACAGAATTCCATTCACCTACTGCTCCTGATTCATCACCAGTATCTGCTCTGCCTGCCATAGAATCCTTGCCTTGGAAAGGCCTTAATCCACCTTTGCCTCCAAAGCCTTTTAATCCAAAGATGCTCCCATCACTTGTCATGGTGTCTCCATCTAGATCTGCTTCAGAAAACTGCCCACCCCCCATACTTTCATTTCTGTTGGCTCTGCGTAGCCCATCCTTTCCCAAAAATCTATGGCTTCCATCAGCATCAACAGAGTAGCCTTGGCTTCCTTCTTGACCATTTCTGTACCAGCCATCTTTTTCCTCGCCAGTGTCCATGAGATGATCTCCATCACCAGCAGATTCTCTCTGTCGAAGTTTCTTTGCCCAGTCTCTCTTTGGCAATGTTTCTTCCAGCCACTCATAGCCTTCTTCTCCTTCACCTGGTCTCCCCTTTCCTTTGGCATCTGTATTGAAGATGCATGATTTGATTGGAGGAGATAGAATTGGGGGGGGGAAGAAAAAGAAGACAATGAATAAGTCATGCACTGCATCAATACGAGAATGTGGCAGTGTTTGTTACAGTTCCATTCTGGGACATAATAAATACATTTCAGTTCAAGTCCTGCTTCTTTTCAGTGTCACATTCACATCTAATTTGCCACTTCTCAGTTGAAGACACAATCACTGTGAGTAGAAATGCGCTTGTTAAAGAAAACCAAGCAAGCAAAAAGAGGATTAAACCAAGGCACATTTCCAGCACAACAGGTCTACTTTAGAGAGGCTTAGATTGTAGCTGGGACCCATTAGTTCCTTCTGCCTTCTCCCTCCAGCCCTGGAGGAGTTACAGACTAGCCCACAGACGGGCCATCAGTTCCCACTTTAGGAAAGCCTTTTTAGAAAGCAGGATCTCAAAAGCAACCAAAGCAACCACCTTTCAGAAGCAAAAAAATACACTGAACGTTTCCCACCTTCCTTTGAGCTTCTTCTAACCTGTTCAGTCTCTAGTATGGAGAGAAATTACTACCTGACAAGTTAGTATTGAATAGTGTTGATAGTATAGAATTGATAGTACCTAAGGCTGCTTTATCCCCTTCATTCTGTGCTGTGTTCACACAGGGACAGCTTCATCAAAAGCATATGTTGAGTTATGGAGGGTTTTTTCAATAACTTATCAAGAACATATTACTACACAGCAGTTGTAAATAAGCCAATGGGATTTGTCAGGATTAGTAAAACAGGAAAATGTGCCTTATCTGAAGAGGAAAATGGTCTATCCAGACCTTCATTTTCCAGGTGTAACTTAGGAACCAGATGCTCTGCAATTCAATTCTCAGCATAGAATCATCTCAATGAGCAACCAGGCAGCGAGTGGAATGTTATTTTGTTAACACACCCCAAGCCAACACCATGGGAATAACACAGTGGCACTTACGCCCTACAATAAGCCAGGCATTTGAGGAGGAAAGTCCAGTGTCGATGGTGTACATGCCGTTGTCAGAGGGCACAGCGTTTTTGATAGTCAGTTGGTGGGTCAGCCCATCAGGACTTACAGAGATCTGGTGCTTCTCACTTGCCTCCAGGACATTGGTTTTGTGTAGCCACACAGCATCATGGCAGGGGGTGCGTAGGACACACTTGAAGATGACATCTTCGTTCTCAGGGCAATTCATATTGCTGAGTGGCTGCTCAAATCCCACAGGGATGGCTGCAATGGAAAATCAAATGCTACAGAAAGGAAACAGCTATTTCTGTCTTCCAAGAAGAACTTGTTGCAGCTAAAGGCAGACAGACAGATGGGAACGTGCCATGCTTGTGAGCACTGGTTTAAGCGGAAAAAGGAATGACTGAGATGAGCTCCTGTGCCCATTTCTACAAGCCAGAAGAGCAGATTTCTGTCTGTTATCTTCTGAGGCATTTATACCCCACATCACTGTGATGTGCTGAGGATTTGTAGTCATTAATGTATTTCAGCAGTATGATACTTGTATTGAGCTTGTAGTAGTTATTATTCTGAGCTTACAAAAGGGAACTATGGCATGGGGTAAGATAAGGAGGCTCCTTATTGTCATCTAAAAGTCAGAGCCAACCGGTAGTTGAACCTTGTCCTTTGGACTACAATGCAGTGCCCAAATCACACGATCACCTCCCTGCTCTTTTTCACCTGTGTCATCTAAGGAGCCCTTATGTGGCCACCAAACCCCATGTTCTGTAGTTACCAGGTTTTACTGCTGAGCTTTGCATCTACTCCTAGTAAAATACTTCCAGCAAGGGCTACTTTTTCATTGCAATTGCACCTCCCATACATATAACTCAGTTCCTTACAGTCAGGGTCCAGTTCAGTTGAGAAAACAGGCACATCCTCCACTCGGACTTGATACAATCCTGCATCTTCCTGCTGCAGATCATTGACAATGAATATGTACTTCTTCCCAATTTGCCTCAGGCAGTGCTTCCCATACTCATTACTCGTTTCATACCTGAGCCTTTCACCATCCTAGAAGAGAGAAGAGCATACACTTCGAGGCAAGGTATTTCAAACACACCAGGGTAAATCTGTGCTGGGATCTCCTTGTTGATATAAATGAATAAGAACAGATTTCAACCCTATTGCTACTCACAGTGGACTCATTGCTTAAGGAACACCCGGGCAATGCTACATGCAGTAAGGCCTGCATGGAACAGAGCATCAGGCTCTCAAATTAGGCAAAACAATACTAGCTCACATGGGGTTTTGGGGCTTAAGCAATACACAGTTACTATAACCTTGAAGACAAAGTGCTTTCTTCTGCTTAGATTTTAGCATCCTCACAGATAGATAGGCAGGTGAGTTCACTACCTTTCTGTATCACTTTGGTTACTTCTCCACATTGCGGCTGCATAGACTTCATGCCATGCATTTGATTTGGAAGTTCATAGAGCTAGTCTGACCTCCTCTTCAATGGATTCCAATTTCCCTTGTATTAAAGCCACTAACAACAAAAAAACATCCACAGCACTGATCAACCTGGGCATTACACTGCAATAACCACACAACTCAACAGGATGTTTTACTTCCTTGAGATCTTCTTTCACAGAAGTAAATTTTAGTGGAATAACACTCTAGAAAGTGCATAAAATGGGCCTGGTGTTCTTCGATAAGACTGCAGAATTTCTGCAGCCTGAAAGACACTGTTTGAATTTCCTTTTACTGGAAGAGCTCTTGAAGTCAAAAGTATATCAGTAACCGACTGCTTCCCTGTACTTGAAGGGCTACAAATCCCAAGTGATATTCACCACCAAAGATGCACCTGGACCCCCACATCAACACTTCTCCCTGACCAGCCAAGGGTTCCTCAATGGACAGACAACTTTAAGAAGCTTATTTCCTCTCAACCACTGCCCAGATCAAGCATTTAATGGTGAAGATGACTTCAGTGGCTGCTATGAACTGGCCAAGTGATGTTGCTCCCTCACCTTAAGCAGATAGACTTTGCTTTTTCTGCTTTTCAGGTCCATCTCCAGGCTGAAAGTAGCTTTTCCATCCTTGGTGACTTGGATGTGCTTGAAGTTTTTGATACTGTGTATTAGCTGCAAAGAAAAACACAAGAAGCTCATAAATGAGAAGGCTGCCACAACAGAAGCTCTTCAGCTGTCAAACTAATCTGAAATCTGCTTTATATCTGCATGGAAAAGAGCTACCTCCAAGTGAATGGAAGAATCAGCTCTAAGTTTCCACAGTTTTCTCCTGTAGGCAAGTTATATTTTACATGCTCCCTCCTGGCCATTCACACACTATGCAACCACTGCCCAGGTTTCTACATGTCCCTCTACGTGAAAGTCAGTTTTGACTCTCAGGTGTGTAACTTGTCAATTGGGCATCCAAATTCCCATCAGGGACAACCAAACACAGATCTTAGCATTACCTTACGTTCAGTGTAACTCCCAAAACTTACGAACTGAACTTTAGAACTATTAGCATTTTCATCTGTATGAGTAGAGAAGTAGGAGTCCTTTAAAACTTTGCCAGAAAGCATCCTCTGTCATACAATAGTTGCATCTACAAAGCAATTTAGGAAGGTTTAACCTATTTAAAGAATCTCCTGTGAAACTATAGGACTCTCTAGTTTGACAAGATCAGTGCCTTCTAGGGTTGCAGTTTATTTTACCTCTCCTTGTTCACTCTCCGCGTCCTTCCTCAGCTCCTGCAGCTTTTTCAGCATCCCACGGAAGTCAACAATTCCATATTTGATGCAGATTTTCTCATAGTCTCTCTTATCTGCATGCAGCAGCAATTGCCAGACTGCTTCTTTATCCAAGGGTTTGGGTTTTGGTGCTGGGGCCCTTAGAACCAGGGGAAAAAAATATATCTAGACATTTTGACAGACAACAAAAGGTCTTGGTTTTCTATGCCTAAGCCTCTTTCATCTCTCTTTGTCAGTTCTGTAGTTCACTTGGCCCTGGTGATGTAGGCAAGAAAGAATGGGACTCTTACAGAGCAGGTTTGCTGCATCTGTACTACACATTAACTGCTGCCAGAGAACAGTCTTGCCCTGGGCCATATAGGCAGTTGTACACTGTTCAATCAGCAGCAGTCACCAGCACCGTTTGGTGCAGGCTAACTTGCCCTCTCCCAGGTAATTTCTCAGCACAGTTCAGGAGCTGGCACACTCCGAGGTCATTCCCATGAGGCAATCTTTGGGGGTTCCCTCCTGGGGAATGAAGGGATCGGAACCAAGAGGTGTTGTTGCCTTCAAGATCTATGAAGCTGTCCCCTATCCTCAAGAAACCTTTAGGAAGTGTAACTATGGCCTTTGTTGGGGAGGCTTACCGCTTCCTCAGCCGCTTCCTGGAGTCCTCAAGCGTCTTCTTTAACTCTATTACAGCAGGAGGGGGAACAAGAAACATTCAGATACCCAACAGTGTAAACTTTACCCCCCAAAACATAATAATGCAAAATAGCCCCTGGCCACAGGCCATTCTATTGATGCTGTTCATCTCTGGTGATTTTTTCCCACTCGGCATGAAACTTGGAGCCAGTTTTCTCTGCCATCTTCATGTCATTTGATGCCATTAAAGTCCACCACTTCCTAGTGATTCCTCTCTTTCTAGAGAGGACACTCAAGAAACCTACTGTCTCCCAGCTGTGTTAACATGTTGGATCCGGTTGTATTTGACATCACAAAACCCTTTTCTAGCACTAATGATTCCTGAATCATTAACTAGAACAGCTCAAAGCCATGCCTAAAATCATCAGTTTTCCCAAAGGTAAACAGTAAACAGAGACAACAGAACATGAAAGATCCATTAAACCTTCTCTCACTTTACAAGTCTGGGGCAGTAATAATGGGGTAGAGAGAGTATTAGCTTTGACCCCCTGCCTCAAAAGAAAGGAGCAATCTAGCAAACTTACCATCAGCAGCATGAACAGGGACGTATTTTGCTTTCCTCTTAAAGCCAACTGAAAACAAAACAGATCAGAACAAGCCATAATTCATACTAACAGCAGTAAACCAATGACAAGAATGGATCAGTTATATTTAACCACAAAGTGCCCATTTCACTGCACTGACTATAATGAGAAGGCAGGAACTGAGGTCAGGTGGCATCTGATGTGGGATGGATCCCTCTCAAAAGACTGCTTCATTCAATGCTATAAAGAAAGGACTAAGCCACTTTGACACTAAATCCAGAGTGCCTGATTATGTTCCAGTGTGGTGACAATAATACCACTTTCTCCTCCCTTGCCTCATACTGTCATTGAGTGACCAAACTGGGGGTGTCACAGGGGAGCTCCAGTTCTCAGTGAGGGAAAAAGTAGACCTTCACACCAAGGATACTTGGACAATGCTCTGGGCACCCACCCCCAAAGGACAGCAAAAGTACTTGAGCCCAACAGACCTTTGGAGCACAGAACCTGTCAATCCTACCTTGTATGATCCTGAGGCCAGCAGAGCATGAAGCTTCCCCATATTCATTCACAGCAAAGCAACGATACAAATCACTGTCTTTTGCAGTGAGTTTGTTTATCTTAAAAAGAAGAACACAGTGAAAGCTCGCAGGGATGTGCTGTGAATCAGTTCACACCCGCTCAGCTTCTAACAGCTGCTCAGTGACATCTCAGATCTTCCTCCTGTTCCCAGAACTACTCCAAAGAGCTTTATTTGCTTCTCTTCATGATATCTCAGATCTGGTGACATAGAACCATAGAGCAGTTAGGGTTGGAAAGGACCTTAAGATCATCCAGTTCCATGGGCAGGGGCACCTCACACTAAACCATGGCACCCAAGGTTCTGTCCAACCTGGCCTTGAACACCACCAGGAATGGAGCATTCACAACCTCCCTGGACAACCCATTCCAGTGCCTCACCACCCTTACAGTAAAGAACATCCTCTTCATATCCAGTCTAAACTTCCCCTGTTTAAGTTTTAACCCATCACCCCTTGTCCTATCACTACAGTCCCTAATGAAGAGTCCATCCCCAGCATCCTTATAGGCCCCCTTCAGATACTGGAAGGCTGCTATGGGGTCTCCAATCACATCTCTATCAGCCCACTGCAGGTTTTTCCTTTCCATTGCTCTCCTGCTTCCATGAGTCCTGTCTGAAATAGTTGATATTTACCTGCAGAATGAATTCATTTGTAACGCTATCGAAGAATGTTTCATATTTGGCAGGGTCATCCATTCGGCCTTGTGCACGCGTCCATTTCACATCAGGGGTTGGGACACCTATGACCACAGCTCTGAAGATGGCATTTTTACCTTTGAAAAGAGGCAAGAAATTAGTTAAGACAGGCTTGAACATGAAGACTTTCATGGCAAGCCCCTTATGTTATCAATAGCATGATCCCCAGAGTGAGACATCTCTGGTTTAGGCAATTCTATCTTTTTGTTTTCCTTTTTAAAAGACACCTAAATTATCAGTTAAAGTTGTACTAAATGCCAAAATCACTGCAAGCCATCTGCCATAATCTCCACTCTAACTTACTGGCTTTCAAAGGGATAACTTGAAAACTCACCTCTAAAATTCACCACTGACTTGGTGAATGAATTCACCACTGACCCACATGGTCAATGTGGGTTTATCGCACAGCCACACAGATAGGAAGTTACGCAGCCAAAAGAGCAATTCTTTGGTGTCTTGGTCTGATTTTCATCTCCCTCAATATTTGAGCAGGGCCAAAGAGCAAGCAGTTATAAGCCCAAGTCCAGGTTTATCTGTATTCAATCATAAAAGGCCTTCACCACGTGGTCTTAGCCTGCAGACATGACTGCACAGATCCACTGATCAGCTCTGAATTCAATGATGCTATAGCAAGTTCAGCCTAGACTTGCTTCTGGCAACTTGCGTGCACTACTTATACCACAGCCATGAAATGCCCAGATCCATCCTGATCACACGACAAGTTCCCATTCCTCCCCTTTGATGGGACCATGCTGGGCAGGATGTTTAGTAACAAAGGACTCGCTGTGCTGGAGTCCCCTGTCTCTAGACATCAGTAAAGTTCATCTGTGAATAGTTGCAGCTCCTGATCTCTCATTTGGATAAGCTTGGATTTAATACAAGGTGGAAAAAGGAAAATATCCCTTCTGCACACTGAAGAAAACGTGTTCTGAACAGACCATACTGTACCACAACTGGGAGCACCCATGCAGGGTTCGATGTTTCACCCTGGACTCCCTATATGTCATCCTTCTGCAGCTTCTTCCTCATCTGCTAGCCTGGCACCACTTTGTACTCCAACCACACCAGGCTCTGCTGTTTGAAGAGGCAAGGGAGGAAGAAGAGGATGGAGTTTGCCTGTGAGCTCTCTCCTCTCTGCTCCCCTAAGAACCTGAGTATTCTGCAGCTGGCCACAAACATCTCCAACAGCTTTACCACTGCCCAGTGCAAAGCTTTTCTTCCAGAAGGCTTCAAATACATTAGAAGCACTATAAACCAACAGACCAGAGAAGTGACTCATGTAGGTAAGTGGGAGTGTCTGTCACAGGGCAACAGAAATGGAGATGAGTTATCCATGGACGTAGCTCAGGGTGGGAATAATTACTACCTTTCTTTTGCAATAGTTTTGGCCTTCAGATGACCAACACAAAGCTCTCTCCAGGCAGTCTTGAGATGCTTCCCACACCCTTCTGCAGTCACCACCAAAACACTCACTTGATGCAGCAAAAGCTGCCGCCAGCAGATTCTTATCAAAAGGCATCTTCGGACTTTTCCTGAGATTGCAGCACTATTATTAAACTCTGATTATGCCTTTGTCAAATTTTAGTCATTCTGGTTGCAGTTCCCCATGCTTGCCATCTGTCCCAAGACAGCTCCCCAGCTAGGAGTGTCAGCTCTGCCATGCACTGACTGCAATGGGGCAATGATGATATAATGAAAGACACTCATCGTGCCTGAATACCCTAATGTTTTGTATATGAACCACGAGGAACCTACTGTAAATGAACTCATTTGGAAACGTTAGAGAGGGTGAGTGAGCACCCCGTGGCTCATGGCTGAGCGAGGGGAAGCTAGTGGAGCAGGAGGGATGTACCACTAGAGGCCACTGTGCTCATTCAGAACATCTCAATGGCTAGGGAAACAACGCACGAGTGTGCCAACACTGAAATCCAGGCTGCCAGGATGGGTTCAGACTTATGAGGAAAGAGGAGCCACACGCGCTCCTCAGGCCACTCCACTCCAAAACCCAACCAAACCCAAAATGACTCAATCACTCTGCAAGTGAAGACATTACTGGGAGGCTTCCCATTGCCTTCGGTCTCAGCTCTAAGGCGCTGCCTTTTCTGTACTCTATGCAAGATCCATATTGCTTCTTGCATCTGCAAGCAGTGCAGCTGCAAGCAGTACAGCTGCCTTTAAAAAGCAGTTAATTTTAGTGCTGAACACTCATAATACAAGCTAGCTCAACAGGAAAACCCCAACTTTTTCAATGTCCTTCATCTTTTGCTGCAAAATACTGAGAGAGCTTCCTGTAGGATTTTCTGGATTGCTGCATTCATTAGGAGCCAGATTCTGATCTTGCAGGCACTAATGAAAGCTCAGGAGACCTCTGTCAGTACTGATGAAATTGTCAACCATACAACAAAGACTTGGGCCATACAGAACTACTCTTATGGTTTAGTCAAATCTGTTCAGAAAGGAGCTTGATTTAACAGCAATGATGGTTTCATGTAGGTGAGACATGGAGTCAAGTCTCCAGGACTGTGGCTTTGACTGTTATTTAAGACTCTCACCTTCCTCCAATGTCAGAGAGACAGGTTTCCGCTCAAAGTCAGGTGTACTGCATCCCTCTGGAACCTCATCCACAAACTGGGTGATGAGAACTCCCGGGACCAAAGATTTCTTGAGGGGTTTTACTAGAAAGGAAAAGTCAAGGAAAAATACATTCCATTAAATAGCATGTTTGTCCTTTAGAAACAATCAGCCTGCATCGTCTCTCTGGGACTGTTCCTACTCAGCTCCTCTTGGATTATAAAGGACACGGCCATTGCAAGGAATGGAGGCTGGAAGCATGTCCAAAGGCTGAAGCATCAGAGGTCCAGCCATGAGCAGGCTCTACATCAGTTATTATAGAAAACTTCCAAATCTAGCATAAGAAAGACACCATTGCAGAGGTCAGCAGAACCTGATGGGCCAGTTACCGGTGTCTCTCCTTATGGTGGTGAGGCAGATAGCAGATTGCTGAACAAGAAAAGCAAGTTGGGTTCATTCCCATGGGTACCACTAGGAACTTCCACAGCTGCATCTGTTCTCTCACCTTCCTGACGGCTTGTCATGATGCTTTGCTCAGCTGCCCCTGGTCAGCACAAACAGGCTACAGGTTCTCCTGTGAAAGAGACAAATCATTTCATTATTGACAGTTCCCAAGGGGAATGCTCACTTTTATGACACCATTTGCCCTTCCTCACTTGCCACATCCTAGCAGCCAAGCTGAGAAAGGCTTGCCAATGAACACATGATGACACAGCTCTGAACCAACACAAACCAGGTATGAAAATGGCTAGCAGGGCTAAATGGGAAATACACACATGTAACAGCATCCCTCTGTCACCTCTTCCATCTCCATGTCACCTGGCTTTCCTCCAAAGACCTCCTCTCGTGTTTCAGGCAAATATTACACCACATGGCACTCATGTGGTGAGTTCTGATGGATGGCAAGAGCAGTTGCTGAGAAGAAAGCCAGAGATGGATGTCTAAACTGGGGCATGAAGCAGCAGCACCTCCTGATCTAAATTAGCTTGTCTAAATTAGCAACAGACCTGAGAGCACACTAAAAGCTACTACTTACTTTGGAAGGAAATGGTAAAGCGTGAACTTGGCATTAACTACTTATTGTTACAGATCACTCGTGTGACCTTCTGCCAAAGGTGTCTCTCCCCCTGTATTTATAAACTGGACGACATGTAATGTAACACATCACCATCCTGCAAGCAAACTGTGAAGGCAGATTTCTTGTCACATGAGAGATGCTCAGAAACTCTAGACTTACCGAAGCTCTGAAAGAGCAATTAGATTAGATTCCCATGTGGCATTAATGCTGCGTCTCCATTTACCTCCTGCCCTCCTTCAGTCAACAAAGGCACACAAAAGCAGGCAACTTTGAACAGCTTGAAAAGGCAGAGGGACTTTGTCAGCACACCTATGACTAATTCAGTTCCTTACATCAGACACCCATCCAGCCTGGTGTTGCCACACTGCACCCGATGAAAACTCAGAGCAGGACCCCAATGCCTCCTTATCGTACATCTAGCTTGGAGCTGCATGATCTGTGTGATACTGACTTTGTGACAACACAAATCTTATTTTAGGGCTCTGCCTACTATCCAAATCTCCTAACTCCTAACTTGGAAAACCATTCTGTGAGCCTATGGACTTCAGTGGACATGCACAAGAAACAGGAATGGGAAATTATACATGGGACTGTGTGAACAACAGCCAAGACCTGGCTTTCTCTCACCTCCTGGTCTGGCGTGGGTGACTTGTTGCTACCCACCAAAACAAGAGGTTTCCACACGAGTGTTCCAGCTTTTGTGTGCTGCTATTTTGGCACATGCCCACAGTTACTGCTGCGAACCACTGGTAGGTGGTGTAAAAATTGCCAGTGAAGGGGAAGAAAAGCTTGTGGGAGGGAAAAAGACACAAACCAGACTTGAAACGAAGATGATTCCAGGGCACCCTGCCTGCAGCGGGCAGGGCATTGCACAGCAAATAGCAGAGATTTTCAGAGACTCTTGATCACCCTCTTCTGATGGATGTAATTTGTCCTCCAAAGCAATGAACTGTATTAATAGTAAACATTCTAATCCCCTATTGCCTTTTGCAGCCTTTTATCTTCCTAAACATGTCACCACCCCTGGGGCTGAAGTGTCTAATGCTTACAACTTTCAACAAACATGATTGCTTGACATTAGCTAGCAGAGGCATTCCCCTAAGCTCTTATGATGTTACACTCACATTTACTCTTTGCTACTCCTGACTTCTTCCCCTCCACACTTGGCAACACTGACGAGCATCTACACTGAAACACAAACATGGTCCAAATTCTCAGGTTCAAAGCCACTAAGAAACCTGTTGCTTATGGTACCAGTGATTGTTCTCAGTCCAGAGCGACTGTGGATATACATTTAATGCTAACCTATTGAGAGAGGGCTACATCCAAACCTAGTTTATAAAAGGAAACAAATACTGATGATTGTATAGGTGGTGATAGGCACCATATACATCTTCTCTCAATGTACAACATGAACTATGTGCACTATGTGTAAACTGCTGAGTTTATAGGGCCTGAAATATCCCAGAAATCCACTTGGATTAAAGATAAGCTGCTGTGAGTGCTGAAACTCCTGTGAATTCATACCTTCTGGAGGGCGAGACAGGAGCATGGTAATGCCACACATTGATTGCGCAGTTAAAATAACAGTGCCAGGATATGCGAGACAACATTCCTTCTGCAGAATTAACCCAACCACACTGCATTTTCTAGTGTCCTCTGTGTTAAAAGAGGCCCAGAAAATAACATATCAGGTGGCAGAGCCATTCAGACCCTGCCCTGCTTACTGTTAGCATTTCTACTCCCTTGTTTCACGAATAACCACGGTTTTGCTTTGACTTCAGGTCAACCCCAGAAAAAGAAATCATAGCATCTTTTAAAAGAAATGGAAGACAGCAAAAGCCTTCCCAAAATTGCCACAGTGTAAATCACATCTTCACTCACAGGCGCTTCCAATATGGGTGTCCGGATTAAGATGATCACAGAGGTTGCTATTTATTCAACAGAGGCAAATACTTCCAAAAGGCAACCTACTCCTCTCTAGGGGAAATGCTGTTGACCAACATCCCCCGCACAAGAGGGCTAATACTGGAAGTGGCTCAACAATCTCACTCCTCTGAAAAACACATCCTTGTTATGCATTAGGCTCGTTCATAATCAAGGCTTGGATATTCCTCACCCCAGGCAGAAGGCTGCAGAGATGTCCCCTTTGGAGGTAGTAGCAGAGTTTCCACAGCTTTGAACGCAGAGGAGGAGCAAGCCCTTGGCTAGTGAGGCTATTTTTAACCTACCAAAATAAACCAGGTAGCCTGATGGGATGGGAGGTCTGCTCTTCAGCTTGTCCATCTATCATTCTGGCTGGCCGAGGCAGAGCAAGAGCCCATTCCCTTTTGCAGCCGGACTGGACATTAGTGATAGGGCCATAAATCAGCTCAGCGAATAAGCAAAACGTTTTGGAGTCACAGGGTTTGGAGGCACTCGTGGTGTCACAAGTAGTTATTTACGAGGTTCAGGACAGTGGAACACACAGACAAGATGTGACATAATTGCTGGCAGAGGCCAGTGAGCAAAATTAACCGGACTTGTGGAGAAGTGACAGGCATGGAGTGGTTCATGTAGAGGTGATGGGTACAGAGCCATGGGAGGTACCACATCCCGTGAGTGATGAGGAGTACAAAGCCATTAGCACAGATGGCAGTAGAAGACTTGAATAATTACAACAAATCAATCAGCAGCAGATGCAGCAGTCTAGTTCTTTTTGTAATTCCTAAAGATCAGGACAGTCCTGACATAAGCAATGTCCTAAACAAAACACCAAAGCGTTGTGAGCTCAGTCTCGAATCCTTGCCATGCTTTACACCAGAGACCCAGACACTCACTGAGAAGAAGCATCTCTCACCTCAAATTGCTCTTTCAGGTTTGGGTGGGCTTTCTGTTTGGGCAACCTGGCCTAGTGGAAGGTGTCCCTGCCCATGGCAGGGGGTTGGAACTGGGTGATCTTAAGGTCCTTTCCAACCCAACCCATTCTATGATTTGTTGACTTTAAGTAATATTTTGAAGTTGAGTCTTCCTATTTCAGAAGACTTTTAAAGGAAAATCTCTAAGAGTTCGGTTAGAACCATGGAACTGAAGGCCAGCAACTGCAGAAGCGCAGCTCCATGCAAACTCCTGGGCATGTCAGAGAGGGGAACGTCACAAGCACTCCAGTGATGAATTGAGGTCTTATGGAGAGTGGGGAGGAATGCCCAAGGATCAGATTTTGTGTGACTTATTCCTTCGGTAAATCTATACTTAATTTGATCTTCTCTTCTGCCTCGGGGATTATGACTATAAGTGATTGCTCATGCTGCCCACAAGCTACGTACACATACACCAGATACGCTCTATAGCTATTTGTTTACAAAAGTGGCATTGACACAAAATGCCATAAGGAGACACGCACCAGCTGTATTTTCTAAGTGAAGGAAAGCAACGGAGCCCTAACAGCAATGAACTGAAGCGTGAACTCAGGTCACTTTGGGATGACAACACAAGGACAGGTCAGTCTGTTCCTGTCGATGTCCACAACACATCCATGAATTCTCGCCTAGCAGACATGCATTTTCATAGAGTCAATGAATTTCAAGCAAGGATCACAGAGCGAATACAACAGATGTCCTTTAGGAAAAACCAACATATCCCTACTTACTGCCCCAAGAAATGCGTGCAAAACACATTAGAAACCATAGTGTACCCAAACCACAAGTCCCACGTTAGCTACGTGGGATAGTTATGGCAGTGCTACAGCAGCCTGCCATCTTCCCAGGGAAACCAGTGTACGCTACAGGACACCACTCCTCCCAGAACATCTACACCCATTTTCAGACCCACAACACCACAGAGCACCGGCTACAGTGAGAGCGATGGGGACACGGCACACTCCCAGCTCTCTATCACCCTCACACGAAACTCAGTCGGGACATGACCAAACTCACTGCTTTACAGGTTGAGCTTCTGAGATGGTCCTGCTCAAAGTCAATACTGCATCTCCCAGGACCACGGTGGCTTCTTCTGTTGGCTCAGACCACAGAGCTCTTCATAGCTGTTCAATAGGTCTCTTGGGCACAGGTATTAGCGATCTGTGTGAAAGAAGCCGTGCCCCTTATTAGCCTGTTGTAAATGTCACTCAGTGGCAAAAGAAATGACAGATTCCTGTCCCGCTCACACCTCTCCCCTCTCCTAGAAGCTATGTCTGTGCTCAGGACCTGCCCACAGTCTGCTCTGTGTAGTTGTAGGGGGCTCACCTCCCACAGGACCAGGGGAGGTGCCATTGAACCCAGAGTCTTTGGCAAGCCCCAAGCAAGGCAGTGGGCCAGCTTGGTCAGATGTGACCATCAGTCAAGACAACACTGGATTTCCAAATGCAAGCTCAGTCAAGACTTCGTGCCTTGAAGAAGGACAAGCATTTGTATGACCAATGGCTTCTCCAAAGAAGGGACAAGCTGTATATCCAAGTTTCATAGGGCACACCATTAGACTGGTTCTCAGAGGCAACAAGTCCTTAGTACTCATCACTCCTTAGCAGAGAAGTCAAAACAGTGAGTTCTTGCACTTCTGTATGGAGTGACCATGCCTGGGCTTCGCCTTCATACCCAGAGTCTTTCAGTCTGTGCTATTCTGAGAGGTCTGACAAAAAAACAGCTCCTCCTGGAACAGCTCCGCTGCTACAGCCAAAACAGGCATCTCAAAGTGCAGTCTTTCCTTCCAACCAAGCCACAGGCTGATCCCATGAGCAGCACCAGGGCCACCAGTTTCCATGGACCGGTTTACGCGAGAAGTGCAAGTGCTGCATACTGTGCCCTAAAATCCTTTGTTTTCAGTCAGCTCTTGCAATTTGTAAACTTCCTTCCCCTACTCAGAAAGCAGAGGTACCTCTGTTTAATTCCTGATGATCATAGATGGCCAGTCTAGGACTGAATGCTACCTTCTCCCAGCAGCAGTACATGCAGACAACAAAGCCTGCTCTCTTTGAGCATGAAAGTCTACCTTCATCACTTCTGGCTGCAAGCATGCAATCTTGATTCCCTTTGCATTGTGTCCCACATATTCATAACAAATCCTCATGTTCAATTCTGAGGTGAAGGGCTGGTTCCTGCAGTTGGCAATCAAAGTATTTCTATCACGGTGACCATGGTTCACATGAGGTTTTCCTCTGGTTTCCCATCAGAAGCCTCAAGTTCTAAAATCTGTGGTTAACGAAGGGAACATAGAGCAAAAACTTGGTCCTGTAGCTGAGACTCATGTTAAATAGGACAAAGAGAGAAGAACCACAAAGAGCACCATTTCTGTTCATCTGAGATAAGGTTTCAGTCGAAAAGGCACTGGTAGTAGCACTATGATTTGTCACACATCAGCTGTTCTGATCCAGAGATCAAAACCTTTGCAGTGCTGGGGATCACCATTTTAATCCATTTAATATATAAATGTGACTATTAAATTCTGGAGTGATTTTCTTCATTCCTTCTTTCTTTTTGACAGTGATTGCTGGCGACAGCGTTTACACCTTCCCCGTTCCTAAGAGAACAATGCCAATAGAGGAAACTGCAATTGTTCAAAAGCTGATGCTTGGGCTGAGATCACTGAGTTCTGCATCCCTTGTTATGTTCACAGTGATACAAAAGTAGAAGTAATTCCAAAACCAAAGATATGAACAATTTGAGAGTTAAAAAGCCAAGAAAAGAAGCCAGCAAGGGTTTTCCACCTGCTAGTGGAGAACCCTCTCTCTCAGTAGCAGATCCTGTTTTCTATCCGTATCCTTGGCAGTTTCCCACAGCATCTTTCTTCACCTTTAGGCCATCAGGATGCTTCCTGAGACATTGACTGGGTGCTGTAGCCATAACATTAAGTACCTTTAATACAACCACTTGCTACACAAGTCTCTAAAGACACCTCATCTAAGCCATGGGAACACTCCCAGAGGAAGCGGTTATTGACATCTACCAAAACCTGAATTGAGGGCTCATCAGCTGCAGCAAGAGCCTTCCCCTAAGGAGAGTTAGCCCAGCCAAAGGATCTGCACTTCCCAGAGCCACAAGGCTTCCTGCTGCTCCCTTTCCAGTGGTTTGCTCCCCATTGGCACTGCACTGACAATGATATTTAGTCTCAAATCACATTCAGCTGGTGGGGTCTGGTTGAATAACCGAGGAATTCCCAATTAGAAAGACAGTTGGATCTAGCAAGTACCAGAAGAGCCACAATTCTGACCGGTCCACCGAGGCCAGACCTGATAAGACTTTGCCTTATTTGCCCTGGTTTTACAGTTTCCTTGGCTGGGAAGGAATGGAGACCTCTCCTACAGATGGGCTGATAACTCAAAACCATCTGTGACAGAGCAAACTCCTCCAAGCGACTGACCTTCTTCCATTTCACAGTTTGTTTGCCACCCGCCCACCCAAAAGTCCTGTTAACCCCTGCATGCCAGTGCATGAGCTACCACATACCACTGAAAACCTGCAAAATGTCACAAGGAAGCCCGGGTACATTCAGCAGCGGTCACTGCTTCCACTGCAAAGGGGACGGGTTTTGCCCTGGAAGCAAGTTCATCCCACTGAGGAAGGGCAGTGAGGAAGTGTCAAGAGGCAACAGCTGCAGGGCAGTTATTTCAGGACTGGATTTGAAAGTGCATTTTATGTGGAAATGAGGCCCTTCGGATCTTCTGTTCTCCCTGCGATTCCCTTCTTTGGTGTATGAGGATGAAGGCGACCCGGTCTGACCAGTGACAATGGGCACAACACCTCCTATAGACTGTTGGTGCCCACCACATGGCTTCAAGCAAGGATTGAAGAAAGCAGGACATAGCAGGTCCAAAAAGCTGACTGGATTTTCCAGCTCACGAGCAGATGACCGAGGTCAATACTTGAGTCACTTGGCTGAGCTGAACCATTCCCCTGCAGCATGGTCACTGGGCTGAAGGTCAAGGTGATGTCAGGGAGGCTTTTGGGCAGAAATACTCGGGGATATGTAAAAGGTGAAGACATGCAAAGCTCAGTAGTCAGGTTCAAAGTCTATTTTGCCATAATAGCAATGAGAACCCCATAAACACTGTGCAAGAACACAAAAAATTGCATTCAAGGATGGAGAAGGGCATGGAAAATGGAATAAAGGTCCAAATTCAGTCAAGACTACCTGCAGCCCTACAACCACCCAATACGCCATATCAGATGAGGTGGGCTGAGAGCGCTGATCTCGCTGGTCATGTACCAGTTAAAGGACATTCTCTGTTCAGATCAAGCAATGGACCAAGCGGATCACAGAATGGCATTTTGGTTTTAGCAGGAGAATGCCCTGCACTAGGATGAGGAATGTACATACACCATGTATGGGGGTGCCCTAAATGAGTCTTCTGGACTCACAATACTGGATTTTATATAAACGTGATGCATTGAGCATTGAGGACTCACAGTTCCCTCTGATTTCAGTGGAAGATGGAGCTTGGCGCTCTTTAGAGATACCTGTTCTAGTGGAAGGTGACCCTGCCCATGGTACAGGGGTGGAACTGGATGAGCTTTAAGGTCCCTTCCAACCCAAACCATTTTACAATTCTAAGATGCCCGTGCTCAGCCCAGACCCTCAAGACCAGCTCATCTGTGTTGTACACCCCAAAAGAAATTTAAGGTATTATTTTAAGGCTCAAAGCCTTGGTTATTTTACTGACCACACTCAAGATGCCAGAGTCCCCTTTGTCACCAACAAGCTGAGGTCCATCACTGTTCACACAGAGCCACGATTGGACCCCCACTGCAGTTAACTGGACTTTCACATGCTGAGATGCAACTCAACATAAGGAAAAGATTAAAATCAGGGTGATGAATTCAAGCAGCAGCAGGGTCTGCTTTCACACTGAGGATTAGCCCCCTCCTTCCCACAGTGTACAGAATTCCTTCTATTCCCTTGTTCAGACTGATTTAATCTGTTTGCATCCATGACTGACTGGAGGTGACATGCTAGCATGATCTGTGATTTAGATGGAGCCTGGCTACCCATAAACCTGACATTCCTCCCTTTCCCTTGCCACAGCTGCTCTCACAACTATTTTTCCTGCATCTTCTGGCCAGCGCTGGAATTTCCTTGTTCTCAAAATCATGGATAACGAAGATACAATTAAACATACTCATTATCAGACACATCACCCCATCAGCACTTCTTGAGGAGCTGAAGACAACAACATCTTCCCCCACCATGTGCTTTAGCGAACGTAGTCAGGCATGCCTGCACCACCTGCACTTGACCCCATATGGCCACCGTGCTTTGCCAAAAGTCTTCTTGTCCAGCTGAAACCAACTATGCACACCCGAACCATTTCACATCCACCCCTTGGGCATGCGGAGGGTTAATAAAGCTCACTGCATGCACTGAAACCCACTATATTGTGCTGTTTGGATGCCAGGAGGCATTCAAGTTACAAAGCTGCTTCTCATTTCTTCCCCTCCCCAACAACACAACACAACCAGACATAACAAACCCTCCCCGTTGTGATTTATTTGCTTTCCCCAGGAGCCAGGAGCAACAGATGAGGAAAACCCAGTCCTCATGAGGAGCTATTTTAATGTTCCATGCCCTGATGTGCCAGCAAGTTTGACACTGAAAGGAAGATAGGAAGAAAATCCCTCTGAAACCCTCGGAGGCCACAGCATGTGGCACCTTCCCACTTGCTTTAGCTTTACATTATTCCCAGCGTTGTTGTGGTACTGCCCTGCCTGACCTGTGCCTGGGCACAAGTTCACATCCAGCACCTCCAGAGGACTCCCACTGCTGTGAATGCCATCCTATCCCTTCTGAAGGTTGTCCTCCTTCAAGCTCTCGCCTTTCCCAAGCGCGCTATAAAGTGCCATTGAGAGCCAGAAAATGATGCCAGCACACAGCAAAGAAATAACCAAAACAGAAATAACCCCATGGGAAAGAGGGGGCATCTCTCCCCATTCACCCCGACTTGCCCCAGGAATCCCCCAGTGCCCCAAAAAGGTCGCAGTGCTCCCCTTTCCCCCAGCATGAAACCAGCAGGGACCGCGGCTCCCCATCAGTCACCTCCTCTGCCTTATGAAGGTGACCCCAAGGAGCCCAGCACTCACCTGCGGGTGCCACAGCAGAGCTCCTTGTGTTCCCTGGTGCTGGCAAAGCCGCAGCTCACCCGAGTCCTTCCTGCAGCCTGCGTTCGGCTGTGGGATCAGTCCCTGGGATCCTTCTCAGCTGCTCCCTCTGCCTCCCCTTCTCTCACACGTGCTCCCTCTCGCTCTGGTAGGTGAAGCTTGTCACAGGGCTGTTAGCCTGCACGACAGATGATTCCTGTGCAGGGACGTGATGCACCTGCCTCCTATTCGTTATTATTTCAGTCCATACCAGTAATGGTGCTGGACGATTTTGAGATTAACGTAATTCTCCAACGTGCCCCAGTTGGAGTGGGGCTTTCGCTGCAGATTGTGTTTCCTTTTCACAGCAACACATTAAAAACAGACGCAACCCAAGGGCTCTGGGTGCTTTAAAGGAAACAGCCACTGAATTGGGTTGAAGCCAATCTCGACACTAACCAGGGCTATTAACCCATCAGGTGAGGGGAACTTGGCTTCAAAGCACATTGAAAGATGAGGCTTCTCCAAGCTTCCTCCTTTCTAAATAACTCTTTGAAGAGTTTGGGTTATGAATATAAGGGGCAAACTGAGCACCTCACTGTTGAAAAGCAGGAGCCTGCACTCCAGTGTATGGCTGGGAGCAGCCCCTGCTACCCCCATAGCTTTGTACACCCCTGGGAATAAAAGGTACCCTTCAAAGCATTAGCAGGGGATTAGGAACCATTAGGTCAGGCTGGAAATGGAGATCAGTTGCCCCTGCAGACTAAGTTCTGCTTATCAGTAAAGGCTTTCTGTGCTGGGAACAGCAATTCAGAGTCACCTGGAGCTGATGTAGATAATCCAAGAGAAACAAGACTGAGTCCCAAAAATCAAGCACCTAAGGCAGGAGATGAAGAGCTTACAAGCAGCTTCTTCAGCTTGCAGGTGCTAGTGGGCACCCATGGAGCACCCAGCGCTCCCCTTGCTCCCATCCCTCCGCAGGTCTGGAGGTTGTAGGCATCTCTGATGTTTCGTTGCTCACCACAGGGATAGTCACACCTTGAGTGATAATGCCAGTCATCCTCAGTAATTTCAAAGGCAACCCCATGAGAGGGTGGACATGAGCACATCAGTGCCTCTATAAAGATGGATAAAGCTCAGCAGCTTGTCTTCTTCAAGGAAGAAAACATGTTTGTGGGATAGACTGTACATGAATCACTCCAAGCACTGAAATGTGGGCAGACTCCACAGCCCCAGCAATGTGACCTGCCCTAGCATCACACCAAGTCCAGCACCATCCAACAGAAGAGGCAAGAATTTAAAGCAAACTTCATTTCCAAAGGTTTTGCTTCTAATCCTTAAAGTAATCCCCCACACCAGGCAATGGGCCCATTTCCCCCCTGCATAAAGCTATACCTCCAATGCACCAAGCCTGGGCAAGCAAGTAACTGTAAGAAGGTAGCACAGTGAACAAGCAGGAGGACAGCAGGTTTGCCTGGGCTTTTATGTCAGATAACTCAAATGGGTTATCATTCCCCAAGTCTTTTACTTTAGATTAACCAGGCTTTGGGGTTTGGATTCTCAGTCCCTTGGCATCACAGTGGCCAACTGAAATCTACTGGGAGTTTCCTACCTTGCTGCTCAATAGCCCAGCATCCTTCCTGTTGATGAGAGCTGAAGCTGGTACCCAATCTGCTGAGGTTATACTGCAACAGATTTAAGCCATAAAGTGCAGGTGACACATCCCAAAGAATCCACATTTGCACACATTTATGCACATTTAGTCAGCAAAACATATAAAAAGGTCCTATTTAGTGTTGTAGAAGAGCAAAAATACCTTCTGCCCCCAAAAGCAAAGTACTGCAACAACCCAGGAGATGCTAAAATCAGCCTGAGACTTGAAAATATGCCCGTTACCAGACTCAGAAATCCAAAGGGCAATGTGTTTAACTTAGCAAACCCTTGACACATCCCTTCCCTATAACCCACTCCAGTGATTTGTAAGCCTGGGTGTTCCCTTCCCTTTAACAACCCTCACAAACATGATTTCCTGCTGGACATGCAAGAGGACTCTATTGGAAACCCCCCAAATGCTGCCTGAGCTGACCCAAGGATGTCAGACTCCAGTTCTACCTTTATCCCCAGTTCGGAAGTGGTTGTTGGTTGCCTCGGAATTGCATTTGGAATGGACATTCTTTGCCAAAATAAACCAGTCAGATTTATCCAGCCCATAGATTTTGTTACTGTCCCAGAGTATTTTCCCAAAACACTGCCAGCTCAGCCAGCCCTGGCCCTCTCCCCTTTCATGTTTGCAACCCAGTCGGTGAATTGTCTGTTAGAGGTTGTACTGAGGGCACAGAAACCTCCTCACTGCTACACTAGATGAGGATAAAACACAGAAATGAACTCCTAGTGAGCCCTGAGCCTTTGTTGTAACTGACTAAGGATACAACCCTCTTCGTGCTCTTCTTATCCTGATGCTCAAGCAGTATGGTGTCTCAAGGATGTGGACACGGACACAAGACACCGTTGTGCCATTTGTCACATCCAAGCCAGTTTTCGGCTGCCCAGCACATAGCCTTGACAAGCGTCCTACAGCCAGGCACCACAACACTGCTTGAGATCAAAAGCACAAGCTCCATGCCAAAGCAGGATGCAGCCTGGTGGCAGAGCATCCATCCGAGAGGCCAAAGGTCTATTTTGGTTGTGTTTGCCATCTCTCAAGCACCCAGCCATAACAATACCTCACAGTCCCTGTGGGCACCTGAGGCTGTACAGTTCACTATTGCCTTCAAAGGCCAGACTACCACAGTAACCACTGGAAGTCCTTCCTGCGGTGAGGCTGATGCCAGGCTGACCTACCGCATAGCCAGGAGCTCAGTACATGCACTTGGACATGAAGGGTATGGTTCCAAGACAGAAACACTACCAGGTAAAGGGTGAGGATCCCTTCCATTACCCACACCCAGGGAACAAACCTGAACTATCCCTCTACAGCCTTCTGCCAAAGCAAGTACCTACAAGGCAGACAAGTTACTGAAGCATCCAACCACACTTGGAGCCTTCCAGCGGCTTCAGCTACAAGACAAACTAAAGGCCATTGCCACCAGAGCTTCTTTTATTGCATGTCCCTTTCCCCCCACCCTTAATCCACCCCCATCCAATGGCTCAATAATTCCATCTTCAGAACAGCAACAGGGGGACACGAGTGCTCCGAGTATGCAGTCCCATTAAAAAGGATGGGCTACAACCGAAGCAGCAGGGATTACCAAACTGGGGTTGTGATTCACCTCTTCCAACCTCCTTTAAATGGAATTAGGAGACTCAGTGTAACTCACCTGACCCAGTACCAGAGCCTGCCCTTGCGAGCTCTGATTGCTATCTGGGTAACCTGATCTGGGAGCACAGAACAGGGCAGATGACACTACGAGAGACCGTAAGTGCCCATCCTACCAACAACGCCTTCTTGGGTCCAAGCCCAAAGCAGGTCTGATATCACCCTGTCACTCCGTCCTGGCTGACAGTGGCAGGGCTCTTGATGGTCTTGTGAGGGCTTTCACCACATCATGAAGACAGCTGAGCTTTTTGCCCCCAAACAGGCCATGGTAACCATTTCCCTCATTCCCCCATGTGATAGTGACCCAATGTGAGACAGACACCGACCTTTACTCCTCAGTACCAGTCACAAGGCCAGGGCAGGAATCTTAGCAGCGAAATGCCTGTAGGAGTGCTATGGGAGCAGGAAGAGCTGGACTGTTCCCTGATGGAAAGGGTAGCCCAAGGGATCTTCCTAATCAGACACATTCACCCAGAACCTGATGAGGGTAAGCCAAGAGGTGATGGCAACAGGTCTCATCAACAGCCCTGTCATCATCAAAGGCAAGGTAAAAAAGCCAGGTCCAAAATCAATCTGGGAAATTCAAAGAGCAGCTTTGGAACAGCCTGAAAACAGCCACAACTCCACCAAAGTGCAGGAAGAGGAGAGATGCCCAGGCCTGAGTTTAAGTAGAGCTGCTGGGCTATGAGCAGAGGGTGCGGGAAGGGGTCCCATGTGAGACTGCTCAGGGCAATTAAGGCCTATTAGTGCCCTGGATTGCAGAACTTCATTCCTGTGACACCCCAGCTCATCCAAACCTTGTACCCAGCAGGGGGTCTCAGCACCATGCGTCCAATTCAGCTCTTCCTTCCACCCTGCCTCCCCTAAACCCTCCTGCTTCTTTAGGTGGAAGTGTGATGTTTGGAGTGTTCAAATCTAACTAACAAGTACTGAGCACCTGGAGCCTTCCCTAACATTGCTGGGATCACCTGGATGCACATGACCTGGTGCCCACATGCTGGACCACTGGGATATGAGCGTCTTGGTCCTTGTGGGTATGTGCATATGTGGGATGGAGGGAATGGAAACATTTTGTTTTACAATAAAATCAACCCACTTCCTCTCCTTTAATGTCTCACACTGAGTTCTGCCACCTCGACACAGCATCACTCCCTTCCACACAGCTAAGTTTGCAACTGCCTGGGAAAGGCAGAGCCTCTGAGTAGGAGCTGGATGATGACAGCCCAGTTTACAACCCAGTCTCTGACAATTCTTCTTCTATATTGCCTTTTGTGATAGCCATGCATTTTCCAGCAATCAAGCATGTTCTGCTGCCTGTGGTCAGGCAGACAGGCAGGCTCCTGCCTGACCCAAGGGCAGAGGGACAGAGGGAGGTCCCTTTTCAAGGCAGATGGATGGAGAGATGCCTCATTGAAATGGGCAGGGTAATGTCAGGGGTGCTGATACATCACAGCCAGACTAGAAGGGAGGAAAGGAGGAGTGGGTGTCAGAGACAGATCCTGTGTCAGGACGGGTGATGGATGAGGGAGGACAGTCTTCTGGGAAGGGTGGCTGGGGCAGACAATGCCAGTGCCAGGAGCTGAGCAGGAGGAAACAAGACCCACGCGAAGGCCCTGGTTAACCCTGCATTTGGACAGAACTGAAGGCAAACTGAATGGCAAGCAAATTGCTCACAGTTTGGGCCTTTACAGAGTCCAGCATGTCCTTGTCAATCTCTTTGACTGGCAGATTGGGAGTCCCAGATGGTTCAGAGCTGTCTGGGACCATGATAGTGAATGGGTCGTCCGCTCAGCCATTCATGTGCTTTTCAGGTGTATCTCATTTTACACTCACCACTTACGCCTCTCTTTTCACCAGTGAGTGTGTCTGCTTTAAAGTGACCATGCAGGGGCAGAGCTGTCTATCCAGCTCATGGAGAAAGGGAGAAACCTCACACATTTATCATCCAAGGTGGCTGCCCTGTATTCCTCATTGCCACCATGGTTTCACATCCCTTATTGTTCCTCAGGGCCAGATAGGTCACGCTGACAGTTTCCCAGTCCCTGTTGGGAGGAGAAAAGCACTAGTGAGATG